CCCCTCAGTGCCTGTTGCTAGGCAACCAAGCTTGGTTCTGTCAGTAAAAGGTGGTGGTGGGGAGGATACCCTTTTCTATGACTATTTTGGCCTTTGGGAGAAAACTCATCGGGGCCAGTCCTGACTAGGGTTGCCAGCTCCAGGTTGGGAAATTCCTGGAAAATTTTTGGTAGAGTTTATGGAAACCAGAGTTTAGGGAGGGGAGCAGCCTCAACTGAACAGAATCCCATAGAATCCACCCTCCAAAGCAGTTATTTTCTCCGGGGGGGGGGGGGGGGGGTTGTCTGGATTTCAGTTGCGATACCAGGCGATACCACAGCCAGTGTGGTGTAGCAGTTAGCCCTTCAGAGCTGGGTCTGCTAGACCACGGTTCTTGCTGTGCAATTTGAGTGGCTGATTTTGGACCAGTCACAGACTTTCAGCCTAACCAACCTCACAGGGTTGTTGTGCAATTGAAAAGGGGGAGAGGAGAATGATGTAACCTGCTTTGGTCCCCACTGCAGAGAAAGCCTGTACTGTTCCTCCTGGGGAACCATTATTGCCATTCTCCAGGTGAGGGCTGGAGATCACTTAGAATTACAACTGCTCTCCAGATGGCAGAGATCAGTTCACCTGGAGAAAATGGTGGACTCTGTGTCCTTATACCCTGCTGAGATGGCCCCCTTATGACAGCCAGTGTGATGTAGCAGTCAGGGCTTCAGAGCAGGATAGAGGCTGTGGGAGGGGGGAGATGGAAAGCTGAAGTCAGAGGGGCAGATAAAGGTAGGTTCTAGTTGTCTGGGACGGAGATAGGGTTGCCAACTCCAGGTTTGGAAATTCCTGGAGATTTGAGGGGTGGAGCCTGGAGAGGGTGAGGTTTGAGGAGGGGTGGGACCTCAAACAGGTACAATGCCATAGACTCCACCCTCCAAACCAGCAATTTCCTCCTGAGGAACCATTGTTGCCAATCTCCAGGTGGGGACTGGAGATAACTTAGAATTACAACAGCTCTCCAGGAGGGAGGGGGGAGGAGATGGGAAGTCAGAGGGGCAGATAAAGGTAGATTGATGCTTGGCTGGGAAGGAGATAGGGTTGCCAACTCCAGATTGGGAAACTCCTGAACATTTTAGGGGCAGAGCCTGAAGAGGGTGGGGTTTGAGGAGGGGTGGGTCCTCAGACAGGTACAATGCCATAGACTCTAACCTCCAAATCAGTAATTTCCTCCTGGGGAACCATTGTTGCCAATCTCCAGGGGAGGGCTGGAGATCAGTAAGAATTACAACTGCTCTTCAGATGGCAGAGATCAGTTCCTCTGGAGAAAACGGTAAGCTCTGTGTCATTATACCCTGTTGAGGTAATCACAGCAAATTGACGCTGAGTGCCCAGGGCCAAGGCACCTGCTCAGAGCCTCCTTCTAGAGCTCATTGTATTTATTTCCACAATGGGCCTTATTCCTAGTACAGAATAATTTTAGCATTAATGTTGTTCTCTGCTCTTTCTCTCTATTTCAAAATAGTACAAAGTGAGAGACCCAAGGGCAAAATCTTATGAAATACAGCAGGGAGCAGTAGGAGTATGGCAGACATCTCCCCACACCTTTCATGCCTGATTAAATGACCTTATTTGAGCATTGTTTTTGTGAGTTTGATACTTCCCCCCCTTATTATATCTATAATTAACAGGGATATATTTTAATGAATAGCAGTCATTAGATTCATCGAGTGCTGCTTGAGATGGCTTTGAGTCCTGAACAAAGGGGAGGGTTGGTATTTCAGGCTGCTTTGAAATAATTCTTGTATATCGTTCACTGTTCAGGAATGCTGCAGAACTGGTTTGTTCTAAGTCCTTTATACTGACACTTCCTAAAAGGGTGTTGATAAGTAGCTCGGAAGCAACATGGAGAACAAGGAATGGCCCATTTGAAGGCTGGATTTCACTTGTCTGCTGCACAGGGACACTGGGAGCGATCCTAAGCAGGTCTACTCAGAAAGAAGTGCCCACTTTGTTCAATAGGGCTTACTTTCAGGGAAGTGTTGCTAGGATTGCAGTCCTTGAGACTTAATATTTATATAATTTGATTCTTAGAAGATTGGCGTGAAAGAGCAAAAATACCCATTAGAAGATAGCACTTGAGGCAGGGTTACCAAACTTAAGGTGGAGCCCGTAGTTCTGAAAATACAACTGACTGGTCTACAGATTACAGAGATCAGTTCCCTTGGAGAAAATGGCAGCTTTGAAGGGCAGTAAAAGACAAACGAAGGGGGGGGGGAGAACAACTCAAAATGCATTGAATTAAGAACCAAAAGGTTAAGGAAATCAGAATATAAGGGCTCGATAGTTCTGTGTATAAACTTGAAGCATAAATATTACAAAATATACAAATATAAATACATGTATTGATTACAGATTCAGTAAATAGGCCCAAGTAATAGCCTCCATTCAGAATAAAATGACATGTCCATCTCAAAGACAGACCATTCCTGCCCTGCCCTGAATAGCCCAGGCCAGCCCGATCTCGTCAGATATCAGAAGTTAGGCAGGGCCGGCCCTGGCAAGTATTTCGATGGGAGACCTCCAGACAATACCAGGGCCAGGAGGCCGGAGGCAGGCGATCAAGCCACTTCTCTGAATGCCCTCCCTGCCCCAGTAGGCATTGCCAGAGGTGTCGCCATGACTCCCAGGCATGGACACCCACAGGCAAAAATACCAGAGAGAGAGAGAGAAAGAGAGAACAATAGACCATCACTGACCCTGACCAAATGCGTTTCGGGCAATCGGCCTTCCTCAGTGGTCGAACAGTGTTGTTACGTAATGCCTACAGACTGGGGCTTTCAACCTCCAGGTGGTGGCTGGAGATGTTCTGGGATTACAACTGACCCCCAGTTTATACCCCACTGAAGCCCCTCCCCGCCCCGCCCCAAGCCCCTCCCTCCTTAGGCTTCACACCCAACATCCCCAGGTATCTCCCAGCCTGGAGCTGACAAGTCTCCTGCAGAACGACAACAATAGTCGTTTCTTAAACGTAGACCCAGGTGAGGTTTCTTTAAGGCAGAGAGAGAGGCAAACCAGAGGCCTTGTTCTAGGCACACTTCGGTGGTCAGGGGCATTTCCCTTGAATAATGCTTCGATTTTGTATCTTTCTTTCCTGGTTTTAAAAGAATTAGATGCAGTAAGGGTGGAGCCAATAGTAATGGAATAGTTCACTGTTCGTTTGCTCTAACATTCTAACAACGTACTTAATTCTGGCCTGTGCTGCCAGTCACTGGAGGTTCATCTGGGGCGCAAATCCAGTTTTCCCTTGTGGCTTCCAAGGAGCATGTGGGTACATGCTTCAGACACTCCCCTGAGTTGAGGCTCAGGCAGGGCTCTTACACCACCCCCTCCCTCCCTCCCTCCCTCCATCTCTGCCTGTCTGGAGGTGGTGGCAGAGCCCCTCCCCTCCCCTCCTCCTCCTGCTTCTCAGCTGTTCCGTTCCCAGGGGATGGTAAGCAGAAACAGCGCTAGGGAAGCCTCTTTTGCTTTTCGGGGGGGGGGAGGGTTAAAGAGCCCTTTGCCTGGGTCTGCGGGAATTCACAGGGGGAGACAGTGTCGCTGGCCCCTTTAACCCTTGCCAGATTCAAAATTCGGCCCCCATTAAAAACTGCCCGCCCAGAGTTTAGTGGCTAAAAAGCCATTTATTTGAATTTTACGTTTTCAGTTGTCTGTTCCATCGCCACTTTGGATGATACTTATGAGCTATAGACTGCCTTTCTATAAAATTTAATACATATACCCCTGCTGATAAACACTGATGATTGATGCTGTCAGTTTCTCGGTTATATGCAGAGCCAAGTTGCCATCCTCCAGGTGGGGCCTGGAGATCTCCCGGAATTACAGCTCATCTCCAGACAACAGAGATCAGTTTCCCCGTAAAAATGGCTGCTTTGGAGGTGGGACTGTGGTGGTGCTGGGCCCTGCTGAGGCCCCTCCCCAAGTGTCCGCCCCCAAATCTCCAGACATCTCCTAGCCCAGAGCCAGCAACCCCGTGCAAAACACGAATAGGACAGAACCAAGGAAGTTCACAGAATGTTGAGAATCTGACTGTTCTAGAATGAGTTCTCTTTTCTGGCATACATTTAGGTGAACTAATGTACAGGGATTTTTTATTTATTTGTTTTTTTGCAGCATAAAATGTGTTGGTTCCTTTGGACTATCGTGGGCATTTTGTTTTATAGTGTGTTGACTCTGCTCCTGAGTTTCTGGTAGGAGGTGAGGTGACGCTGATCTTGGCAGAAGACAGCAAAACCAAACGAGTAATTAAGTGACGCAAGCCTTTTGATTATTTCTCCCCCCCCCCCTGCAGCTGGGCATTCGGCTCTCCAGAAGAGGCGCACAGGAGAAGAAGCGGCTCAAGTCCTGTGCAGGAGATGAAAAGAACTTCGGGAAAGGAGGGCCTTTGCGACTCAGGCTGAAGGACGTCGTTCTAGACCGGCTCCTTTCTCTGTGTCTAAGACGGCGAATGGCCTGTGCTGGTATTCCAGTGAGGAGCGACTGACAAGCAGCAGCAGCAGCAGCAAAGGCTTTGGTTTTGGCTGGCCTGTCCTTTTGCCGGTTGGGTGGTGCTCGTTGGCCTGAGGAGGCTACAACAGAACTAGGAGAGGTCGTTTTTCCTTGTTCCTGCCTCTTGTTGAACTCCGGCAGCCGTGCTGTTTGCAGGAGGGTTCCACTGAATTTTTGTTCTTCTAAAAGAACAGAGGATGGTACAACTGTCCCTGAAAGCCCATGGATTATTGAGCTTGTTTTTCATCCATTTAGATGTGGAGGCAGGTGTTTCCCTGCATGAGATGCACCGTCCTAGTGGCACGGGCTGGATTTAAAGGGGAAAATACAGTATTATATACGTAGCCTCATGAAGTGTACGTGAACAAACTGGAGAGCAAAAAAAAAATTTTTTTTAGCATTGCACAGCACAGTTCTTATGCTGAATCAAAGTGAGGACCTGATCAGGATAATATCCATCTCTAAAAACCGCTGTATGGTACAGAGCTAAATGTGAAAGATGTCTTGGAAGAGGAATTATTTTTCTGTGGGACGGGGCGGTGTGCAAGGAATGTTCACGCCACGCAACACAACATCTATAGCACCTAGTAAAGGTCTCAGCAATGAGCCGGGACAGAACAGCTGCTTTTTGAATAGTGCATTGCAGGTAAGCAGTGTGGATGAACATCTGCTAGTCTTTTTATACGTGTTTTCCTCTGCTATGCCTAAAATACTGCTTGAGAACATCTGTGCAAAACAAGCAATTACACAAAAATGTTGAACCTGTTGTAAGAGTTTACAACCCATCCCCTGTGATCTGGTCACAGGAGTGTCCTGGTGTGATGAAATGTTTTCTTCTTGAATTTACTTTGCTACCATTGTAAAAGCCCATACTTTAAAATGTACATAGTGTCAAATGGGAATCCTTGCTAGTCTGTAGTAATAGGACAAAATAGAGTCCAGTGACACCTGAAAGACCAACAAAATTTTCCAGGATAAACACTTTTGTAAAGTATCTGACGAAGTAGGTTTTGACTCTCAAACTCTTATACCCTGAAAAATGTTGTTGATCTTTTAGGTGCCACTGGACTCTTATTTTGTTTTAAAATGTACCTGTCTCTGGAATTTTTAGACAGAGTAGGATCAATCAGACCAAAAAGCATATAGAAATCTGCTTTTCTAGTTCTGCATTTTCTATTTTATACATTTTACAACACAGTGCATGTTTTATAAAGAAAGCTGATCATTTTGTGCCAGTTAATTAAGAGCAATTTTGAAAGTATTTTCAAAAAGTTGGTAAAATATTGTTTAGGCATCACCTTTGATAGAATAAGAGAGATGTGAACTGACGTGGGCTCTGAATCCTGTTGACGTATTCCTTTTTAAACAAAATGTCTTGTGACAGTTGAAAATTTATTACTTGATAACAAACATTTATTTGTTAATAGTTCTTTGGATTAATTGGGCAGCGTGTTCATCCGTTAGAAGCTATTATTCTGGCTTTATAGATAGGGATGCTAAAGTATATGATCAAACTGCTCAGGAATATTAACTAGGGTAGTATAGTAGTTTGAGTGTTGCTCTTGGACTGACTGATTGATTTGATTGGATGACTGATTCAATTTATACACCACCCTCCCCCAGAGGGCTTCGGGTAGTGTACAGCATATGACAATAAATCAATAGATTTAAATAATTAACAATAAAACAGTTATAACTGTATAATACAACATAAAACCTCATCCAAGGCATTTGATATCAATTATAGATAGCTTCCTGTGGGGGGCGAGGGCGAGAGACGGAGGCCAGACTAGATGGCAAACCATGCCCATCCTCAACCGTAGGCCTGGTGGAACATTTCCGCCTTACAGGCCCCGCGGAACTTTGTACCAGGCCCTGCAGGGCGTGGATGTCACTAGGCAGAGAGTTCCACCGGGACAGAACCAGGGCCAAAAAGGCCCTGGCTCTGGTCAAGGACAGCCAGACGGCTTTCAGGTCAGGGATCACCAGGAGATTTTGCTCCCCAGAGCATAGTGCTCTTCAGGGGATCTACCAGGAGAGGTGGCCCCGAAGGTACGCTGGCCCCGGACCCTTCAAGGTCTTAACTCGTGGGCACTCCATGAAATTGCTGAGGAGTCGGGTTAGAACGGATAAAAGGAAGTCCTTCTTCACCCAAAGAGGGATGAACCCGTGGAATTCAGTGCCACAGGAGGTGGTGGTGGCAGCTACAAGCAGGGGCGGCTTCAAGAGGGAACTGGATAAGCATCTGGAGCAGAGGTCCATCAGGGGCTATTAGCCACAAGGTCTAGATAGGAACTCTCAGTCTGGGGCAAGTGATGCACTGTATACTTGGTGCTTGGGGGGGGTCAATAGGGGGAGGGGCTTCTAGTGTCCTGGCCCCACTGGTGGACCTCCTGAGGGCACCTGGTGTTTTGGGCCACTTTTGTGACCCAGAGTGTTGGACTGGATGGCCTGATCCAACATTGGCTTCTCTCCCATGTTCTTATGTTCTTAATGATTAATACCAGAACCCTAACCCTGCCATGAAACTCAGGACCAGCCATTTTCTCTCAGCCTAACCTACCTCACTCACAGTGTTGTTGTGGGGATAAAATGGAAGAGTTGAGAGCCGCTTCATGCTGTCCTGAGCACCATGGAGAAAGTGTGGGGTAAAGATCGACACCCACCTCAGTGGCAGAACCAGGATAAATGCTCAACTGATTATTTTTAGCTCTTAGAACCACGTGACAGCTGAGAGAATGACTGCAGGAGAGCCACAGAACCACAGAGCCGGAAGGGGCCCCGCAGGCCATCTAGTCCAGCCCCCTGCTCCGTGCAGGACCAGCCTAGAGAGCCCCTCCCTGACCAGTGTTTGTCCAGCCGCTGCTTGAAGACTGCCAGGGAGGGGGCGCTCACCACCTCCCCGAGGCAGCTGATTCCATTGTGGCACAACTCTTGACTGTAGAAAAAGGTTTCCCTAAGATACAGCTGGTACCTTCCCTCCCTTAATTTGAACCCTTTCTTGTGAGTCCTCTCCTCTGTTGCCAACAGGAACAGCTCCCTGCCCTCCTCTTAAGTGGCAGCCCTTCAGATACTTCAAGAGAGCAATCATCCCCCCCCCCAACCTCCTCTTCTCCAGACTAAACATTCCCAAGAAGTCCCTCAGCCTTTGTTCATAGGTGCTCTTGGTCTCCAGGCCCCCCATCATCCTCGTCGCTCTCCTCTGCACCCACTACATTCTGTTCACATACTTTTTGAAGGGAGGCCCTCAGAACTGCACAGTTATCCAGTTATGTCCTGATCAATGCAGTATACAGCGGGACTGTGACACGGGTCTAGATCTAATGGGTGGAAATTACAAGGGAGTCGTTACCAGCTAAATATCAGGAGAAACTTCCTCACTCTGAGTGGTTGAGCAGTGGAACAGACTGCCTCAGGAGGTGGTGGATGCTCCTTCGCTGGACGCTTTCAAGCGGAGGCTGGACGACCATCTTTCGGGTATGTTGTAGGGCTATCTTTTGGCTATACTCCTGCAGAGTGCAGGGGTTGGACTAGATGACCTACAAGGCCCCTTCCAACTCTGACATTCTATGATTCTATAATACTATCTTGTGATTTAAATATTATGCCTCTGTTTGGTACATCCCAAGATCACATTAGCCTTTTTTGTTGATGCATCACACTTGTTGCTCATATTGAACTTTAGGTCCACCCGTACCCCAAGGTTTTGGTCACACACTGCTACCCAGAAGTGTATCCCCCATCCAGTATGCGTGATCCTCATTTTTCTTACCCAGCTTTAGAACTCGGCGCTTATCCTTGTTAAATTGGATCTTGTTCACATCCGCCCACCTTTTCAGCATGTTCGGATCTCATTGAATTCTATCTCTGTCTTCCGGTGTGTTTCGGCTCCTCCCAATTTGGTGTCATCTGCAAATTTAATGAGTAGCCCCTCCACACCCTCATCCAAATCATTTGTAATATTGAAAACTACTGGGCCAAGGGAGAGAGCCCTGTGGCACCCCACTCTACACCTCCCTCCATTCAGATGAAATGCCAGTGGCAACTACTCTCTGAGTGCGGTTCTCCAACCAGTTCCCCACCCACCTAACTACCCTAGAAATGTACTCCTATTGGTTGGGGTCAGAAATAGAGTAAGAGAGACTATTATGTCTGAGTCCTGACAGTTTCCATTTGTTCTATTGATTGAGTCATATAGCTTTTATTATGTCATTATTGGGCCATAGCATAGGGTTTATGTTTCACGGAAAAAACTGTTGCACAAGGAGTTCAAGACAAAGGAACGATTCATTAATTGTCTGGTCTGGAACCCTAGCCTTGTGAATATGTCATGGTTTTACTGGTAAGCTCAGTTCTTGAAACTAGAATGATATAGACCCCATTCATGAAACTGAGCAGATTTTTCTTGAACTAATTTGTAACTACTTTGTAGCTCCCCCCATGATTGGTCCTTTAAAATTGATAAAATTATTTATTAACGCAGTTATGGGATGGCTTTAATGGGTGGGGTTTATTAATGTGTTCAGCTCTTGAAATTCTGTTTAAAGCGAAGTCCTTGATCAATAGGAAGGAACTTCCTTTGCATTTCAAGTATATGTATTTCATACTCTAAAAGATTTAGGATTTCTTTAAATAAATGGGCAATAAAGGTTGGGGGTGGGGATACTAGTCCCTGTACTAGCAGGTTACAGTAGTACTGCTGGCATGTGTGTCATGCCTGTGAAGTTACAAATACAAGCAATATCTGCCATCCCTCAGTTAATGCATAAAATAAAAAATATTATTTGCCTAATTTTAGCCTTAACTTCCTTGCCAAACATTCTCATGTTAATTTAAACAATGTCCTGCTTTGTTTTTATAGGTTCTCTGGCATCTTGATATTTTTCGACGCAGTTTCCGACAACTTACAACCCACAAATGCATGGGAGATTCCTGTATATTTTGTGCTCTCAAAGTAAGCAATACAGTGAATGAGGGGGAAATTCTCT